ATTGTAGTGAGAGGAGAATGAAGAGGAAGAAGCAATGTGACCCTGGAGGCAGAGATTAGGGCAATGTGGCCACAAGCCAAGGGACAGCAGGAGCCATCGGACACTGGAAAAGGACAGAAAGGACTCTCCCCAGAGATTCTGGAGGGAACATGTACATGCAGATGCCATGATTTTGGACTTCTGGTTTCCAGAACTGTGATAGAATAAATTTCTATTGTTTTAAGCAAAAAAAAAAAAAAAAGATTATATTAATAATAAAAGAATTTTGTGTTCAAACAACCCCATCAAGAAATGGGGAAAATGAACAGAAACTTTTCCAAAGAAGACAGAATAATGGCCAGCAAACACATAAAAAAATGCTCAAACATATCTAATCATTAGAGAAATGCAAATCAAAACCACAATGAGAAATCATCTAACCCACCCAGTGAGAAAAAAAAAGAAGAAGAAATCCCAAAACAACAAATGCTGGTGAGGATGTGGAGAGATAGGAACACTCTTACACTGCTGCTGTGACTACAAATTAGTGCAACCTTTATGGAAAAGAATTTGGAGATACCTCAAACAGCTAAAAATAGAAATACCACTCTATCCAGCAATAGCATTATTAGGTATCTACCAAAAAGAGCATAAGACATTCTATTATAAAGACATCTGCACTCGAATGTTCATGGTAGCACAATTCACTATTGCAAGAACGTGAAAACAACCCACGTGCCCATCAATTCATGACTGGATTATTAAAATTCGGTATATGTATACAATGGAATATCACTCAATTCTAAGAAACAGCAGCGAGCTAGCACCACTTATATTATCCTGGATTGAGCTTAACCCCATTATCCAAAGTGAGGTGACACAAGATCAGAAAAATGGGCTCCACATGTCCTCGCCATCAAATTGGTACTGACCGATTATCAATATGGAGCTCAAAGGGTGGTGGTGTTCACCAGAGATTCGGAGGATGGAGGGATAGACCCACATCTGAGGGATGTGGCGAACAGTGTGCAGGGGAAGAACATACCTCTAACCTTTGCTAGTTTAGGCAAAGCTATAAAATCTAACCAAAATACTAAAAAATGAAAAAACAAAACATTTATCTGGTGTCTGGCAGGTAGGTGTGGAGGGGATGGATATATATATATATATATATATATACACATACATTATAAGTGCAATGTGCATTGTCGGGGGGATGGACATGCTTGAAGTTCTGACTCAAGGGGAGAGGGAAGGCATTTGTACCTTAACATTTGTACCCCCATATTATGCTGAAATAAAAAAAAAAAAAGAATGTTTTCAACAACTTTAGGACAACACATTTGAAAATTTAGATAAAATGGACAAAGTTCTAGGAAAAAACAACCTGTCAAAACTGACCCAAAAAGAAGACTAAATAATCCCATAACTATTCAAAGAATTGAACATCCATGGTTTTTTAAAAATCTTCACATGAAGAAAAGCATAGGGCCCAGCGAGTTTTAGCACGCTATACTAAACATTTAAGAAACAAACGAGTCCAATATGATACAAATTATGTCAGAGACAGAGAAAAGGAAAATAAGGAAAATGTCCATTTGGTAAAACTTTTACCAAAGCCTGGCAAGGATACTACCAGATCCCAGCCATTAAGAAAGATGAGAAAGTCCTAAAAGTATTAAAGTGAATGCAGCAATGCGTACGAAAAGGTAACGTAACATGACCAGGCTCTTTTTATCTCAGGAATGCTAACTTGATTTAATATTAGAAAATTAATAAATACAAATTCTCCACCTTCACAGATTAAAGGAAAAAGTATGACAATCTCAATAGAGTTAGAAAAAGCATTTAATAAAATGCAACATTAGCAAACTAGGAACAGAGGGTAACTTCCTGGGGAAGAAAAACCCACAAACACCCTATAGCAAACACCACTCTTAGTGGGCAAATATTGAAAACACATCCTTTAAGCTCAAGAGTAAGACAGAATACCTAGAGGCCAAGAATGCAAAAAGGCTAAAGAGAGAGAGAGAGGAGAGAGAGGGAGGGAAATAAAACGTTTAAAGACTTGGATGGGGGGTGGGCAGGGGGACACTTGTTAGTCTCAGATGACATACCTACACAGAAAACCCAGAAAAATCCACATTTATACTATTAGAATTAATAAGAGTTTAGTGAGGTTGCTGGATTAAAAAAAAAATCAATTACCTTAAAAAAACTGCCATGAACAAAGAGTTTAAAAATAATATTTTTTAGAAGATATCAGAGACAAGGCCATGAGTCCTGGCGGAGCCTTGCACAGGAACCGATTTTTGAAGCTGTCCACAAATTGACAGCAGAGAGGGCCTGGCAGCCCCAGGTGTGGTGATTGTTCCGTGGGACAAAGGGGTTCATTACGGCTGGCTGACGGTGAATTTCTGCCTAGAATGGGCAAGAAGGAGAGACACTAACATGCTTGAGGGAGCTAAAGCAATTTCCTTATTAAAAACCACCAGGTGCTGCACTATTGCTGTGTGTCAGGTAGAAACGGAATTCAAGAGGCCAAGAAAAATGCCCCTGAGCGTGCTTGGAGACCTGCCTTCTCACCTCCTTTTGCCCTTGCAACAGGCCAGAAAGCAAAAAAAACCAAAGCATTGTCTGTTACCTTAACGCCCACCTGGTGGTTCAAGTCACAGCCAGCAGCAATGCCACTACGGGACTAATTGTCAGCCCAGAAGAGGAACTCGCTCTATTATTTGAAGAACCGAGACAAGCTGTGCACGTTTCTTAACCTGACTGTGGTTTCAGAGTGTACCTTACGTTCATTATGCCAGGCACAAAATCACTCCAGTGATCTTCAAGCCACAGTAATACCAATATCCATGTATTCGGGGAAAGGCCCCTTTCCCCACCTTATAGTAAAGAAAGAGCCTATGTGGGAAGACTCTCTGGACAGACTGATTGTTATATTTCCTTGTTTATAGTCTTCTCTTATTTAGTGGGACGTGGGGATATCGTGAAAACGGTTCAGCCTCCCGCAGTTCCCATGGAGTTAGTTGAGTCACCAAATATCCAAGAGATGCTGGTCAGTGGCTCGAGATCAACCCAGGACATTGATCCACTGGAACTAGGACGTGCTCCCTGTCATGCAATACCCCCAGGGCCGCAGAAGGACACAGACCCTTTTTATTGTGAATAATAATGAGGACATATTTTCTTCAGGTTATACTATATTTCTTTGTATTGAATGTGAGACAGATAAAATGGCTTAGCAATAAAATCAGCACAATCACTAACTTTCCCATGTCTACAGTCACCCCTTGGTCTCCCAGGAGATCGGTTCTAGGACCCCGCACAGACACCAAAATCCATGATACGCAAGTCCCCGATAGAAAATGGTATAGTATTTGTATATAACCTATGCACATCCTTCCGTATACTTCAAGTCATCTCCAGATTACCTATAATACCTTATACAATATAAATGCTATGTAAACAGTTGCTGTATTGTATTTTTTTTGATCTGTATTATTTTGTGTTGTATTGGGTTTTTTTTTTTTAATATTTTTGACCTGTGATTGGTTGAATCCGCAGATGCAGAGCCTCAGATACGGAAGGATGACTGTGTATTATTTTGTGGTATGGATGAATATTACTAATTCATTTGATTCTCTTCAAAGGGTGCTGCTCTTTACCTAAAATGCAAATTAAAGCTAATGGGTTTTTCTCCCACTCTGCTGTCTATAACCAGGTTTAATGTTTTCATACTCTTTATAAAATTCAGATGTGATTAACCAACTATTTCCAAAGCTGATATGTGTGTAGACATGATAGTATAGCCCTTTTTTCAGACATCAGTATAAATAAAATAGCATTTTTAAAGTAAAATATATATGCAAGGGATATCTGGAAATTATCCAGCTGTGTGATATGAAAAATAGAGCCATTTATTATATTAACAATGGCTGGATACTTTCCAGAAAGCCCTCATGTCTAGATCAAAATGTAAAACACCTAGGACTATATCTAACAAAAATGTATAAGACATTTATCAATGAATTTTTGAAAGTACCGAAAGACATTTTTAAAAACCCTAAATAAACGGAAACTCATTCCACATTCACAGATTGGAAGAGCCAACATAAACTGATCTACAGAGGCAATGCAGTTCCTATCAAAATCCCAAATGTTGTGTTGTTGAATGTGAAACTGATTTACGCAGAAGGACCAAGGCCAAGGACAGCCATGGCTGTGCCGAAGAACAAATCAGGGCAGGCGTGGAAGGCTCTCCTTCCCAGGCATGCAAGCAGCCGTGAAATAAGGGGAACTTGGATTGGGACCCTGGGTTTTTGTTCCACCCTCACTACTAACCAGGACCTTGGCCAAGCAACTCTCCTCTCTCTGGGCATTCGAGCCCCCGTCTCGAAACTAAGCTCGCCCCCCGCTGTTCCACTGAGAATTTCACTTACTCACAGTGTATCCCAAAAGGATCTGAAAACCCACACTACTACAGTCCTGAAGTCACAAAGTCACCCTGACTTTCCCAGAGACCACCTTTAAGAAACACGCCTATCTTCGGAGCTAATGGGTAATTCCATGCAAGCAGGAACCCCACCCACCCACCTCCTTGTCTGTGGACATAAGCAAGGCTGAACGAGAAGTTTCTGCCTGGACACAAAGTACGTGCACATGCAGCTGCTCGGGCCAGACCCCCCACAGCCAGTGCACAACCAGCTCCTTGTCTGAAGTTCGACACTCCTCTTCCTCTCCTAGAACTGACTTTACATCTTCATATGGGAAAAGCAGGGAATAACATTTCTCTGCCAGCATTTCTCTGCTGAATTTCTGGGTTCTGTGTGTTCTAGAAAGGGATCAAGGAAGGTCCCTCCATACGCAGAATGCCCCAAGGCCCAACACTTCACCAAAGAACAAGAACACATGGACACCACTCCTGGCCTCAAGGTGCTTCCAAAGGTGAACAAACCATCCCACCTACCCAATACCTGGAGCCCAGGATGAAGCCCCTGTGCCCACCCCTGTACCTGTATTTGATATCAAATACTGTGGAGTCCTCATCCTCATCATCTTCTTCGTTCAGCGGGGCCATTTCCACTCGCTCTGCTGGAGTGGTGATGATGTCATACTTGCGGGTCTTCTTTAACCTCTTTCCCGACCTGAAAGAGGAGGAGGACATTCATTTGAACACAGCCTGGGGTGAAAGAGCCCCCAGGCCCAAGCCTCAGAGGACCCGATACAGGCTTGGCAGGTGATGCTAAGTCAGGTCCCCTCCCTCCCACCTGAGAGCACCTCCAGCCTGGCTGCCCAGGCTGCTCCCAGAAGACCTGGTTAACACCCTGGCTGCCCCACCTACAGCCAAGACCTCCCCAACCCTTTATGGTCCTCACCCCTAAAGCAGAGGTATCTGCCCTGAGCACCAACAAAAACTCAGTCATCAAGATAAATAATATATGAAAGCAATACTTTTAAAAGGCAAAATTCATACCAAAATAATCCACAATGAACAAAAGGTGAGGACAGGTGCGTCACAGCCTGGCGGTTGACGGCACCACCCCATGGGCCAGCCAAGGGTCGCCTGGGTCAGAGCCCGGGCACACACTACGTGAGTGATCGGGGGCAAGCCGGTTAATCTCCCTAAGCCTCCATTTCCTCCTAAATAAAACTAGACAGGAATAATCTTGCTCACAGGTGAGGGAGGATGGCATGAGGTGATGCCCTTCATGAGTCTGTGCATGGGAGGCTCTTGCAAACGTTACTATTAGTAATAATAACGATAAATAAACAGAAGTTAAACACGCTACATCCTTTCTTGTATGACAAGAACTTGTGAAAATGAGTCAATTTTGTTTCCATCATGAGGAAACGATTACTACACTGCATTTTTACCTTTGGGGGGCTGGGAGAGTCGCCATGGGCCACAGAGAAAGTGTGACATGGGCCGTTTCAGTCTCTAGCGTAAGGACTGCACGAAGGCTGAGACATGGACTGGGGCAGGGCTGGGAAGTTTACCATGCCACCCGGGAATGCTACCATCACAATGACGACTGCTGCTCTTTGCATGCATTTATTCCTCCACTCTCTCGAACTTTTTCCCAATTGCTTTGTGTTCTCTGGAGTCCCTCCTTTTTAAGAATATTTGATACTGTCCACGGGAAACCAGCCAACCCAAAAAGTCATAAATGGGGTATTGAAGAATCATGTTCTCGACATATTCTTCCTACAGACTGTAAGTTGTTCCCGAGTGGCGACCACATCAAAGACACATGTGAGGCTTCTTTGTCCTCAGCACAGAGAGACTCTTCAGTAAGTCTGCACAATGAATGAAAACAGAACTTCGCTTTTGGGTTTTCTAAAAATTTCTTAGTCATAGCAACTTGTTCTTGTCTTACCTAGTGCGGTTTACCAAAAATATGATTTACCAAAGTGTCATGTCATCTATATAAAAAGTTTCAGTACCATATCTTTGGCGTACAGCAACCTATTCAACCCATAGTACCTGCTCCTCGTGATTCTTCGGGTAGAGAAAAGAGGTGAGATAATGGGGAGAGAAAGAGAAGCCAGCTGTAAAGTCTGATGATCTCCAAGCCTCATCGCAAAGCAGATTTTCCTCCCTTCTTTCATCACAGGAAAACACACACACACACACACACACACACACACACACAGAGGCACAGACACAGGATGTAGCATGATGCAAACGCCAAGCCTGGTGCTAAGAGGATAAAGTGAAGGGGCATGACAAGTCACCTTGCCAGTGGCCCTGGGACAGGGGTGTTTTAGAAGCAGGCTTCGTGTGGGACTATAAAAGCTCACCTTACACATATTGTTGGTCCCACATTCTCCCCATCAACAGCTTCTTCTCCCCACCTCCCCCTAAAGGAGTAAGGTAAATCCCCACACTCTGCCCTAGACGATTTACAACCCCTGACCAATTCTGTCTCCAGTACTAGATGGCGGAAATGTAAGCCCAGAAATGGCTCCAAATGCCTCAAGCAACCCAAGACAAAGCCACCCATCCTCAAGCCTTCGAGGCTATGGTTAAACCCCCAATCCACACGGGCCCACACACCACACCTTTCCCAGGAAGACAGCCCTAAATCTCCACCCGGATGATTCACCAGCTGTCTGGAGGAAACACCTGGCTTTGCAAGGGGGCAGGACTGGGCTGTCCACTTCCAACATATACCCAAACATTAGAAAAGGAGATGTCCTGTGAACCAGAGGACCAGGCAAAGGCCCCTCTGGGCCCTCGAAAAGACGGACTCCCAGAGGGTTTCAGGCTGAGGAATCACAGTCCTGTTTGTGACTCTTTTTCAGGTATCACAACGCCTAGGAAATGTAAAACCTGATTTTCAAACCTCTTAGTGCACTTGGAACTTGACACCTTGTTAGTTGTAGGCTCTGGGGCAGGACTGACCTGCTGATCCCGGGAGAAGGCTCCGGAAGCTCCGACTTCAGCCCTGCCTCAGGGGAGTGGATTCCAATTACCTGTGAAATCATTTTCCTTATTCTCTATAATCTGAAGACTCTTGTGTATAGAGTCTTATGATGAGAAAATTAGCCTATTGAGCTAAAATAAGGCCCTTGAACACCTAACTCATGGGAAAAAGAGGAAAATGACACCAGCCCCTACAACACTACGGCCTTTGAAGCTTTAATGCCAGCCTCTCCAGCCACGCAAACTCAGGGAATGAATTTAAACTGCAAGACTGCGGCAAAGGTGTGACGGTTAATGTCAAGTGTCAACTTGACTGGGCCACAGGGTGCCCAGACTTTCGGTCTCACATGATTCTGGGTGTGTCAGTGAAGGTGCATGTGAATGAGAGTAACGGCTGAATCTAGGACTACGAGCTAAGTAGATGGCCCTCCCTAATGTGGGTGGGCCTCCACCGGTCAGCTGAAGGCCTGAATGGAACTATTGCCTGACCGACCCTCCCTCAAGGTGTAAGGACAACTCCTTCTGCCCAACTGCCTTCAGACTGGGACAGCAGTTTTTTTCTCCTGCCTTTCTATTCAAACTAAAATTATTAATTCTTTGTGGGTCTTGACAAGCCTGCCTGCATTTAGGCTGGACCTCATGCTGTCAGCTCTCCTAGGTCCCCAGCTTGCAGATGCCAGGTCTTGGGACTTGTCCTCCTCCATCGTCACATGAGCCAATTCCTTATAATAAACCTCTCCCCACCCCCATACATACACACACACACACACACACACACACACACACACACACACGCACGCACATGCACCCCTATGGTTCTGTTTCCCGGAAGAACCCTAACACAAAAGGCTATTAGCAGGAGCCCTCGTGCATGCTCCGAACGCCAGTTTTGACATAATGAGTTGGAGAAATTACATTGCAGTCAACACTCTTAGACAAAATGCTCTCCACGAAAGAAGAACATTTTCTGCTGTTTCACTGCTGGGTGTGTTATTATAATAAGGGAAAACTGAGGCTTGTGAGATGTTTAAAGACACTTAGACACATCCCCAGCAGAGGCACACTGGGCACGCTGGCTGCGTCCACAAGGTCTCCACCGATGGGCAGATGGGCTGGGAGGGGGGGCGCAGGGGCGAGGGGGGGGTGACTGCACAACATATACACAGAGCTGGAGCTGGGGGAGGGATGGGCGGGCCAGTGGGAATGATCGGGGGCTGGGAGGTGAGAAGCAGCACACACTTCTCACATTAGAAGGTGAGCTCTTCCTCTACTAGCTGTGCACTAGATAGAGCGGGGATATTGGTGAGCACAGTGGATCAGCATTTCCCAGATCCCCGAGCCTGACTGCCCTGGGGCCAGAGAACAGTGTCATTCTGCCTCGGAGAGAAAGAACCTGAGAAAAATGGGACAACCGTGTGTGTGTTCAAAGCCCAAAGAGCCTCACAGGTCCTCCTCTCTCTTCTCTAAATGTGGATTCCATCACACATCTTTTTAAATTAATAACAGCCCACAAGAGTTGAGCTCTTCCTGGGCACGGGCTAAGCAATGCACACGTGTGACCACATGCAAAACATCTAAGTCACCCTGAAAGGCATATGCTGCTGTTATCCCTATCTTACAGCTGAGGAAACTGAGGCCCAGAGGGGTCGACTTGCCCAGGTCCACACAGCGAATGAGCGGCAGAGCTAGGGTCTGAAGCAGGCAGCGCAGGCTCGCAGCCGCCACCGCCGGCCCCCTGCCCATGTGGCTGGGTGCAGTGCTGCACAACACGGCTACCACAGTCTGAAATGTGCCAGGAAGGCAGGAGAGCACGGGGCACACAGTGTGCACACACCATCCCTGAGTGGCTGCCCCGGCGCCAACCTCCCCAGCAGGCCACCTGGAACCGCCCCCGGCTTGCCCCGGGGCAAGGCGCCAGCTCTCCACGGCAACTCGCTCCCAACAGAGAGCCCCGCCCACACCCCACCAGACTTCACCACCACTTGGCTTTCATGCCCAACACTCTTTGCCCTCCCTCATCACGCTTTCTGGAACGTGTCACTTAACACGACTCACACTTTCCTATTTCGCATTGATCTGGGCACGCTTCTAGCAAACTCTCTCTACACTGTGACTCCCTTAGGACGCGTGCTGAGCTGGAGCCACCCAGCATCCATTTCCTCCCTCCTTGCGCAAATGTATCCTGCGTCCCCTTGCTGGATCCCCCTCCAACACGGTCTCCGTGGTGCACCCCCAGCCCCAGGAGTGGACACGGGCCCAAGCCAGAGTGCACCACAACCCCCAGGCCAAGGCAATGGCAGGGGACAGAGAGGAAGGCACGACCAGTCAAAGCCAAGGACCCTTTGGTGGGAAGGCTAGAACGGGGCAGGTGGGGGCCCCCGGCCCCGGCCTAGAGACTCAGGTGACGCAAACCATCTTGCCGCCTTCTAAAAACAGAAAATAAAGCCAACGAGGCAGAGGACAGACTGGAGAAGAGAGTGCGAGAGAGAGCAAGTCCCAACTCTACCACAGAGCCGGCCCTCCTTGAAAACCACAAACCTACCCTCTTGTTCACCAAAGCCAGCTGGGGCCGGGCTTTCTGTCACACAGGATCTAACAAACCCTGACGTCCATGGGGTCTGGAAGGCAGGCACGGAACAAAACAAGGCCACCACTGTAATAACAATATCATCTCGGGATTTTTATTTTTTAACTCTTATGGACTATTATTGATTTAAA